CCCCAAGTGCTCCTACCACCACTGGGACCACTTTGGCCTTTCCTTTCCACATCCTCTCTAGGTCCTCCTTTAAGCCCAGGTATTTCTCCAGCTTCTCATATTCCTTCTTCCTGATGTTGCTGCTACTTGGCACCACTACATCTATCACCTCCACTGTCTTCTGGTCCTTGTCTACTACCACAATATCTGGTTGTATGGGCAGTACCTGCCTGTCTGTCTGGATCTGGAAGTCCCAGAGGATCTTAGCCCTGTTATTCTCCATGACCTTCTGTGGAATCTCCCATCTGGATTTGGGAGTGTCTAACCTATACACTGTGCAGATGTTCCTGTACACAATGCCAGCTACTTGGTTGTGTTGTTCAGTGTATGCTGTTCCTGTTTGCATCTTACACCCTGCCACTGTGTGTTGGACTGTCTCCGAGGCCTCTCTGTACAGTCTGCATCTTGGATCCTGTCTAATGTGGTAGACTCCTGCTTCTATGGATCTGGTGCTTAGTCACCTTTTCATACTATGGAATTTCATACTATGAAATGTATATATAGTTGGTAGATAGCACTGCTTTGGAAGGGTACTTCTATTTTGCTGTCTTTGCAGATCCTTTACTAAATGGACATCAGTATTCCAGTTTAATTCAATCTGTACCAATTTGATGCCCCTTATAACTGGACTGCCGCTCTTATAAGCGTCTGCTATGTATGTTGACTGGGAATAATAGGAACTGATGTTGAGCATATCTAGAAGGCATGAAGTTGCTCTAGGCTGGCTTAATTAAAACATTGTGGGCCTAGGAAAGAGAAAGGATATGAGGGACCAAGATACGAAGATATATAAACTAGACACACTAAGCATATTTGAAAATACATACATTTTTTCAACTTCACCAAATCCTGCGAAAGCTCCTTTCGGTATGATTCTTATTTTGGTGAGGAAAAATATCCTGAAAGCATAAGAAGATGCATATTTTATTTATTAAGTACTGCATAAGAATTAATTTTGTTTCACTTTTTAGTTAAAAAAGCAACTAAAACTACATGCCAAAAATACTCTTTATTGAGATGCTATAAAATTGCTTCAGTTTGGGCTTTCTCCTAAATTTGATAGTGGAGATTCTGAAAAATGTACACATTTTTTCCCTTGGTAATAGCAACAGAGTAAGATAAATGAATCACAGGCAGAAGGAATATGGCTAGTAGCACATACAGTAGCTCCACTGTGATGTAGCTATTAGAATGCAGAGTTGGAAGAATTGGAAAGCCATGAGTAAAAGACTGCACAGCCATGAACCTTAGAGAATCGGTGGGATAAAAACATAATAATAAACCAGAATACAAGTGAAATACTTAGCAAGTTATTAATATAGCACCATTATGATAGCACTTTACAGAGAAACATAAAGAAAAGAAAACATTTTGTACAAAATGCAGCCTGTAATCAACAAGCAAAATTCACAGGATATTGTCTTAGATGCTTATCAGGTTGTTGTGATGACTTTAAAGCAAAAACAGTGAGTTGACAGGCTGGAATATACTTATCTGAAAGATCTGCAGTAGCTGATAAGGATCTATGATTCCAAAAAGTTCAACAACAGCATTCAAAACTGAAAGTTCAAAAACCTGATTGGCTTTGTGCCAGCTGCTTATATATTTTTTTGTGTCAGTATAAAAAGGAATATTAATTGCTTGTTTTGGGCTATGTCTTCATGCAAATCTACTTGGCCAATTTTGAGACTTTGACCATTGCTCAGTTTAGAGATCTTGGGTATTCTATAAACAAACAACAAGCAAACAACAACAAAAAACCAAAACAAAAGTAAATAGCACATGTCTAAAGTCTATTTAAATTTTAAAGCCTAGTCAACTGCAAAATACTTTTAGGCAATTAAATGGAAGATGGGATTCTCAATGATTCCAGCTACAATAAGTCATAATCTTTTAAAGGCATTATATTTTTAACTATCAGATGATGCAGAGAAACACTGTTAGATGGCCTTTCCAGAGCCACTTCTTCTCATGAACTTCCAGGGGATTTGACTGACCAATCCTTGAAACAGAATGATGAACACAATGAAATTTTTGTCTGATTCATCAAAATAATTCATTCATAAGCTGGTATCAATATTCTAATATGCTGATTGTTCACTAATTTGAAAATGTTAATTTTGAGAATATGGATCTGTGTTTTAAAACACAGATTATCAGTCTCAAAATATGGGGCTATTGTTTAATGTTACTTGCATGAACCTTAGGGTTCTATCATTTCCTTTCTTCCTTTAGTAAATTTTAAATTTACTAAAAATTTAGTAAATTTTTCTAGGAAATCAGAAGCTTTTGTTTCAATTTATTGAAAATTGTCTCATTCAAACCAAACAGCTTTTAATGCTAACCAGAGTATAAGAGAGAAACCATTAAAAATGATTTATAATCCTGAGTTTAATTAAGCCATAATTAATACCAACAAGAATTCTCAGTTTGGATAAATGGTTAATTGAAAGCATAGACTGGGACAGAAGAAGAGGGGAGGAACAAATACAGGTCTTAAGACTTCCTCTGGGATGACTAAGTGTCACATCTAAACATAACCATCATGTTTCTAAGGAAGTTTAGAAATGCAATAGCTAGGTTTACTAAGCCTGAAATGTGCTTTGCTTGGTTTGGTGTACTGAAATAAAGAGAACCTGGCCTTTGTGACTTTGAAAGACAGGGTTCAAATATGTATGAATCAGAACACTGGGGCTGATTCAACAGATCTTGGTTAAAGGGGATGGAAAATTAAAATATCACCACTGTAATGTCCTCATACAAATCTATAGTATATCTGTATCGGATGTACGGTGTGTATTTCAGGATACCACATTTGAAAAAGGATAAAATAGAGATGGAAAAAGTGCTGCAGAGGGCAACCAAAATTACCAGGAGAGCTTGAACATTTTACTTGCAAGAAATTAGCTACAATATTTGTAATTCTTTAACTTGGAAAAAAGATAAGCGAGAAAGGGCATGGCTGAGGTGTATGAAATCATTCACGGCATGGAGAAGATGGATAGGAAGAAGCTTCTTCCCTTTCTCTTAACACTAGGACCACCAGTCATCTGGTCAAGCTGATTGAAAGGAGATTTAGAACAGACACAAGAAAGCTCTTTTTCGCATAGCACATAATTAACCTGTCCAAAATGTGGTGCCGGACACCACCTTGGATGACTTTAAAGGAGAATTGGATAAATTCATGTTGGACAAGTCTATTATGGGCTGTTAGTCTGTTATCACTGGGTTGGGGGCTGTGTGCTTCCAAATAATAATTGCAGGGGAATAACTGTGTGAGAAATATGTCTCTGTCCCCTGCCACACAAGCACTCCACAGGCATTTACGTGGCTACTGTGAGAACCAAAATACCAAACTGGGAGGGGCCTTCACCTGATCCAGCGGGGCTGTTCTTATATTCTAATACCTTAATATAGTAAGTGAACTCAGCCATTGACTAGAGCAGACTGAAAGAAACAGACAGGGTTTAAAATGAAAAGAAGTTGATTCTGACAACTGTGAATAGGCAGTTGATTAGCCCACTTCTCCAGGTTTCAGCATCATTTTTTGGTCCATAGAAGTGAGAATTCTCCACTGAAGCCACTCATAATATAAAGATGATATCATCGGCTAACTACTTTTCACAGTCTGCTTCCCCTTAGGGTTGACAGCTAATTGTTTCTTGAATTACTGCAGTTCTTGCCTCAGCAATCTTGCTTTGATAGATGCATCTTCACTTTTATCTCTTCAGAGCAAAGATTTCTTTTCTAATAGCAACTGTGAATCAAATTTTCTTTGCAATATTGTTTTAAAATCTTTTTTCTTCTTCTACTCCATCCATTTCTCACTTAGCTCTGGATAGGGTGAATGACTCTTGACTTGATTCTATCTGCTGCATAATGTTACCTATCACGCCTGCAGCCTCTGAGTCAAAATCTCTAGAATTCACGGCTCTGCAGCAGTGGCATTCTTCTGGGGAATGTCCGGATGGCTGGAAGTTGTATATCCGCATATCATATACTGGTGCTTTGTCACACTCTAGTTCTATGATAAAGATATTTTCTCAATCCATATTAAATTAAATATCCCCAAGAGATATTTATTATTAAAAGGAAGCCGTTGACTTAAGCTTGAAGTTCCCTGTAGTAATAGATTTATTATTGAGTGAGTTCATAAACCAGTTCCCTACCTTGATTCAAGGTATATTGTTTGTTTGTTTGTTTGTTTTGTTTATTTAAAGCATTTTCATGATTGCCCAATTCAGAAAATGCGACTCTGGGTGGCATACAAAAGAAAGAAAGTAAAAAACCAAAACCAACGAATACAAAAATGGCATGTATCATTGAAAATTAGTAAACAATAAAATGACAATTGGGACTGAAATACATTCTAACTCCTCAAAGTGAGGACTGTACTCATCCTAGCCCAAAGGCCTGGGGAGTAAGACAGGTCTTACTGACCTTCCTAAAAGCCTGTAGGGTTGGGGCCAACTGTACGTCTGGTGGTGGTGGTGGTGGGGATTATTTCAGAGACCAGGAGCTGGGCTGATGCCAAATATTTGCAAAATTGAAGCAAAAAGAAATGGCTTGCAATTGAAAGAAAACAAAGCCTTCAAGATGGCACTGGTGAAGTCCCCCAGTTCTTTGTGCAATGTACAAGCACATTTTCAGTAGTATGTATGTATGTATGTATGTATGTATGTATGTATTTACTAGGTTTGTATGGCTACCCATCTCAGATACATGAATCTGGGTGGCTAACAATACTAAATACTAAAAATAGGTAAAATATATAAATATACAAAATAAAAAATGCACAGCAGTCGGGATGAATTGATGTTTCACAAAAACATCAGTTAACACAACTGGGAAACGGGCTCCATCATGCACCCAACATGCTCCGTTTGGATTGATAGGAAGAGCTTGCAGGGATTCTGGATGATTAAACTTGACCAATCTCCTCTATGTTCTATTTTCTCTTTGTAAGTCTCTTTCTCATTACCTCTGAGCAAGTGGACCCATTTGAGCAGGAAGTTGTTAAGGTAATTTCAGGGCTGTTATCTAAATTAGGCAACAATTAACTCCAGCAATAGTTAGTCATATAAGCCCTTCAAAATGAGAAAGAGTATAATAAATAATCAGGATGTGCTAACATGTCTTTTAAAAAAGCTGTATGATTTTAAAAAATAAAAGCATGTTGGGTCTCAACAATGCCCACAAAACAGGCGTTCTCAAACTTTGCAGTGCTATGAAATACTAAAATTTTAATAGAAACTAGAAACCCATGACCTGTTGAGTCATCATTTCAGAGATATTTCCTTACCTAAATAGAGAAATAGAATGACCAAGGGCAAAAAAGCAGTGGGAGTGTGAGCAACTTACGACTTGCTGCTGGCTTCCCCATTGACTTTGCTTGTGGGAAGCTGGCAGGGAGCATCACAAAACTAACTCCCTCCCTTCCTCCCATCTTCTTCTTCCTCCCTTCCCTTCCCTTCCCTTCCCTTCCCTTCCCTTCCCTTCCCTTCCCTTCCCTTCCCTGAAGCCTCCTCTGCCTCCTCCTCCTCCTTGGC